TTAGTATCCGGGATTTACCGGATATGCAGTGCTTTAATCTAACAACATTTTGCATGATCTATTCAATACGATGTCTTCTATTTTTAGTTGTACTAAATTATTCTGCATTGTTCTCTATTAAATATCATTTCTAGACTGTACATGTAAACTGTTCAGGATATTCGTGGCTATTTTACCTAACTTGGCAATATTTTGTAACAATCAATCAATCAATCAATTTAAGCGAAGAATTCATTTCTTAATAATCAGCCAATAGTTCGATTTCTATCGTATTTCATTCTTGACACATTTCATGATTAATTTCACAAAATCAAATTCATTCATTAGCATTTTTTAACGATGCAACTGACATCCTGTCATGTTTTTCATCTGTTTTATGTATGATATTATTTGTTGGAATAGTATTTGATGTATCATGTGAATTATTATTCAATAAAAACGTTGTTATTTTGTCCTCCCCCCCTCCCTCGCTCTCCCCGAAAAAGAAAAAAAAGGAAAAATTAGTCTCATAAATAATATTAAGAAGTTTGTACATCACTTTCAACTTCGTTCTCTCTCTCTTCCTTTTTTTTTTTTTTTCTTGCAAAATAATTCAGCAGATAAGAACTAAATAATATATTTAATGGCAACTAATAAACGGAATTTGGCGAAGAAATATTAGCAATATTTTGGAAACTAAAACTTTCTTTTGTCACTTTTAAAATATTAGTTTTCAAAATTAATGTAAATATTGCATGAACTTTTCACAACGATAATTTTTATCGATTTTACTATTTTAGTCCAAATGAAGAAGGTATGAGCAAGTAAATCCGATAAGGAACTTCTCATCATGAAAATAACAAGAGTTTAAATTATTATTGAAAGGGAATGGAATTTTGCGACAATCAATTACCTCATAAAATAAAGTATTTTACAACTTTGACTGACCACTGATCAAAATAAAGTCCATTTTACATCTACAGCGATATCATCTCTGATCATTTAGAAGTATGACAGCTTCTTGTTATGAGTTTTCTTACTTCTTCCATCTTCATTATGATGTCAAAATTGAATTAAGAATCATCGCATGATGCACCTAAAATAGTCCCCACATGGAAACAGGCTTTCTGATTCGAATTTGAAATCAGTTCAAGCAAAACAAATAAATCATAATATGTTGAACGATGGTGACATGACATTTCCATTATTTGTCCTTCTAACTTTTCTTTTGTTTTTTGTTTAGCTTATCTGGAAATATTTAGGTGTCTTTTTTCTGTTTGAATGAAAAAATTAATAATTCGTAAATTGACTTGGCATAAGTATGACTTTCAATACGTATAATTTGTTCCATCCTTCTTTCTTTTTTCCCCATCCCCACCAATATGGTAAAGGTTTTTTGATAAACTGATTCAACATGAAAAAAAAAAAAAAAAAACACGAAATGTTCCACTTACAAGTATAAGTTTTTCTAAGGGAAGAATGAAATTAAAGAAATGCAGGAGCTTAAAAATGTTGTTGACATCAATTGTCAACTAATTATTTCATTTCAATTCACTATCAGACTCTTGATAATCAGAAGCATCTTGAAGGGATTTCCAGGATTGTTTTAAAACATTGACAGTGTTCACCGAACGACCGCTTCAAACTAACGCTTCAAACATTAAAAAAATATTCTGAAACTGATACCGAAAATAAATTTCTATAATTTATTCAGGCTTTCAGCATCTGATGTAAAGCAAATAATGTCAAATTTTGGGTATATCCAAAGTTGAAAACCTGAGTAGGTTATACAGTTTTATTTTCGTTATAATTTCCAGAATACTTTCATATCTAAGGTTAAAGTACTGAACAATATACAAGAATTGTCCAGAACAGCATAAGTATAAGACTGTTCCACATTTTAGTATCAACGGTATCACTATCACTGATATCTTTCCAGGTGTAAAGTATAAAATCTTTAAAAGCACTTTATTTTTTAATGCTTATAAGGTTGAATAAGATGATTAACAATGATTATTGTCTAGAAAGGCTTGATCGTTATGAATTAGTTTAATCATTTTTATCAAGAGATATTTATAAATTTAAAAAAAAGAAAAAACAAGAATAATACATACAAAAAGTAAATGACGGAAGTGCAAAATATCCGATAATTATACCAATCATCCAAAAATTTTTCTTTTTTTAAATTTAAAACGTATAATCTCACTTATTGTTTAATTAAATTTAAATTTGTTGAACTGTATGTATAAAAATTAATAATTCATATAATCAATTTGTTGCAATAAAATTCGCAATGTAACATTTGTTATTGCAAAAGATAATAATAAATTAAACAATATGATTTCAGTCGTTTACAATTGGATTTTTTTAAATCCTTTCCAATTTCAAATTAAAATTAGAAAAGTTTTTCACCGATCTTACCAATCATTTCCACTTTGTATAGTTTGTAAAATGCTGTAACATGCGATTTTAATGAATGAATACGAAAACTGTTGGTTTTTATTTGCCTTTCGCATTCATCATTCTCATAGATTTTATTTACAGATCAAAAGTCAAACTGATCGGAGAGAAAAAAAAAAGTGTGTTAGCATGAAATAAATAATATAAACATGAAACTTTTAAATTTAAAAACTTAAAAGTTGTGATTTGTTGATATTATGAATAAGAAAAAATTAATTATTAATTTTTGTATAACAATGATTTTTTCCTCTGTATTATCGTACATTTATGCATTTATCAAACGTTTTTCAAACTTTTATCTTAACATTTGAACATTTTTTTAGTTTCCTTCCTTTTTTTTTTAGACCAAAAATTACTATCATTTAATACTTAATCCTTATATCAATTAAAGCTATGAAAATCAAAAATAAAAAGAGAAAGAAAAAACAGAATGGAACAAAAAAGAAAAGTAAATAAAATAAAAAGTAAGGTAAAAAAAGAAGTCTAAAAGCAAATCAATTAAATAAAACTAGTCGAAAATAGTTTACTACGAAAAATTCGCCCTGAGCCATTCTTTTGTTTTTTGTTCTTCATTTGGCATGTTATAGTAATTGTGAATTGCATTAGTAATTGCGGAAATAATAAAAAGGTTGGTTTAAAAAGTTTTCAAACGGTTAAGGTTCACATTTTTCAAAGTTTTCTTTTTTTTTTTTGCTTCCACATACCTCTCTTTTCATCTTTACCATCATTTGGACCATCAATCCTTCGTTCATTTATCCTTCTTACGCATCATTTCATTACACTTTTAATTAACATTCCGTTAGGCAACATTTAACTATTCCTAACAATTATCACACTTGTATTTCATCATTTTTCTCTATCACTTCAAATTTTATCAACTCATCCTGCTGTGTAATACATTAATTAAAATCATTTGATGGGAAAACCGAAAGTCACCTTGATACATTTGAGCAAATTACTCTTTTTTCCTTTTTTCTTCCCCTTTTTTTATTTTTTTATTTTTTTGAAATATTCACATTACTTACAATTTATTTAAATTAAGCAGTCCTTTCGTTCTTTTTCTCACCCTTTTTTTTCATCTTTTTTTTTCTTTTTTCTTTTTTTTTAATCTTTCCATTTTACTTAACTTACACATATACCTGTTTTTCTTGATTCAATCTTAGATTTTTAGTTTTATCATTTTTCCTTTTTTTTTTCTTGTTTTTATTAACACTTTACATATTTCAATTGGTTGAGAGAATTTGCGTTTTGGTTGTACCACCAAATTTTGCATGAATTATTTCGTGTCTCCTTTTTGTGAATCTCGTTTTCATCCATTATACTTTTTCTCACTTTTTTTCACTAAAAAAAAAAAGAAAAAAACAGAAGCAGAGAGAAAAAAAAAAAGTATTAAGATCCTCCGACTATCACCAAAATTCGTTACAAATTGCTTCAACGAGAGGCACTTTTCTTTGTTTACCGTCATTTTATTTGCTTAAATGCATATTGATGATGTATTCCAATCGTAAAATTTCATCCCAATCAATGATTTTAAAAGTTTGTTTTGTCCTTTTTAAATTCATAAAATAGCTCATGGATGATATAATTCATATCATTTATTCTGCATGATCAATAATCCTCAAATTTTTTTCACCTCCATAGCTGTAAGCTAATTTCTTCGTTTTTTAAAATTCATTGTAACTAGTTTAAATCGGTTGAAAAGCATTGAACTGCATAACTGTCAATTAATTTAGTGTATCTGATCGATATGATAGTTAAATGAGTATATATCTGGATCGATATGATAATTAAATGAGTACATCTGATCGACATGATTTCATTTCGTCTTGCTTACCGCCATTTTCAATGATCCACACTTAGTTACTCGGGGCAAAAAAAAAGAAAAGGAAAAGTAATATATTCATAAAAAGGAATTCGGTATGCAATTTTGAAATTGCAACTAGCAGGTAAATGTGTAATAAAAACTGAGCAAATATTGAAATTAGTGAATAATCCAATTAAAGGCAAAACAATGATAAGGATGAAAAACAATAAAATAAGTAAACAATATGTAATTAAGTTTCAAATTTTAATACAATCGTATATCATGTCAATGCTTGTTCTTTCTCATACGCTAAAAATTTGCTTTAACTGCATTTTATTATCACAAAAAGTTTTGTTATCACAACATAAACTCTCCTTTCTCATACGTGTCTTTATAAATTATCGTTATAATTTATATGTTATCACTATATAACTTATATGTCATCATTATTTTGACCTTTTGTATCGCTGATATAATGGTTATCGTAAAGTATAAACAATCATTTACCAAATCATCAAATGATTTTGACAGCAACTTTCTTCTACATAGATTGAAATGGCATCAGCAATAACTTCGACGATCATCCCGAATATTATCCAATCAAATGTTGAGAAAGTTAGTATCTTTCTAATATTTTTGAATAAAATACTATCATTTGCAATTAATTTAAGAAAGACTTTAATAAAATTGGATAATTGTTAAATAATTCAAAAATTCTAAAAATAAAAAAAAAAAAAATTAAAAGTATGCGGAAGGAATGCGACATGCCAATGATGCATTACAAGATATGCTGGAACTTGTCAACATGCCCGATTTCGAGACTCATGAAGGATGGAAACAAAAAAGTGCTAACAGAAATGATATTGTTTTCTCAAAACATTTTGCTGTAGGAAAGATTTTCACTATGAGGGTATTTTTTTTTTCTCTCTCAATTCTTTCTTTTATTTTAGGTGTAAAATTTTTAATTTATTATAATACCATATGAATGACACTAATTTCAAATCAATTTTCATTTCAAAAAAAAAAAAGCTATACTGAAGAAGGTTTTAAATTGGATGATTCGTTGAATATTTTCCAACGATATTTCTAATTTTATTTCATACCTCTAAAAATGAAAGTAATGTCAAAATAAAAATTGTTAATTGTTGACGATTGTTGATTTTATTTTTTTGCAGACCATATTCGATTTCCCTCTACAGGCATCATTTGCGGAACATTGGGAAAATTTTGCTGATATTGCGAAATACAACAAAAATATTTCAAGTGTTAAAATTATTGATGAATTGGCATCAAATATGGATGTCGTTTATGTAAACATTTGAAATGTGTGAAATATTTTGCAATTAAATTTGTGATTGAATTTGATTGAAAATTTCAATAAGCAGAAATCAAATTTGTTAGCTGATTGACATGGTTAATGGTTGATACAAACAAACAATTGATGATTTTATTGTCATTTATAAACTAAAAACGATGAAAAAAAAGACGTTCAGAATTGTGAATTTCAAAAATTTCTGAGAACTGATGTCACTTTTTTCAAATTTCATGCAATTTATCGATTTTCTTTTTTTTTCAATTGAATTATTTAAGTTTAAATAATAATGATTATTTAGTATGCAATGAAAGATTTTGGAAAGATCAAAGGGCGAGAATTTCTGATGTGTCGTACGTTTCGTAGTTCGGATGATGAAATTATTGAAGCAGCACGAAGTTTCAGTCTCTCGGACATCGAATGTAATCCACAGAAAATTCGGTTAGACATATTGAGAATATAAACTTTCTGATTTCTTTTTTTTCTTTCTAGTTTTTTATATTCAACTTTCAAGATTATCATAATATATAAAGGAAAAAGTTTATAATAACTTCTATGTTTGGAAGTAGGTTAATTTTTTTCAGATCTATTTTAATCAAAGCTTAAATTATATATTCGCCGATAACATTTTGATTTATGATAATGATAATATTTTGGTTTTTCATGATGATATTTTAGATAATATTGATAATATTTTAAGATTATAATATCTTATTTTAATTGTTAAAATTTTGCTGTTACATAAGATATTTAGTTTTAGTAATTGATAAATTATTTATTTCAGAGGGCATGTAATACTTGCCGGTGGACGTTTTCGGGTATATCCCGAAGATTCTGCAAAAACTATTGTGGATTATGTGATGTGTGTGGATTTTAAAGAGAAAAATATTCCAAATATCATTATGGATGCTACAATGAGTACACTTATCATACAAGATGCCGAATATACTCGGAAACAAATTGAAAAGCTAAAAGAGGAAGCAGCATGATAAGAATCCATCTATGATACATTGTTGTGCAATTCAATGCATCCATTTTTATCAATACATTTAAATGTTCGCATTATGATATTTTTCCAGTTTTATCTAAAAACGAAAAATTATCTGTTATCAAAAAATTATCAAGAGGATACTACAGTATTTCGAGAGATATTAAGAGGATATTGCAGTACTTAGAGAGATTATGGGATAAATTAAATACTCTTTATTAAATTTTTTCTTTCACTGTTCTTGCCTTATTAAAGATGTGCTTTTTTGGTAAATAAAAGAAAAAAAAAGGGAAACATTTTATGGTTAAATCACAATAATAGAAGCTTCATCTCCATACTTTTAATAGTAGTACACATGAGTATACGTAGGTATACGTGAATACACGTGTTAAATATATGAAGTTTTTTTACAGAGGAATTTTTATAATCATTTTATTAATCATGTTATTGCTACAGCAGAATACATTATATGAATGATAAATTGATTGCTGAATATGAAGAGAATGTTGAAAGAGTAGGAATGATAATTGGATGATAAAAGGAAGGGATACTGTTGTTAAGTGATTTCAATTGAAAAAATATGGAATAACAATATTAGATGTGGATGGAAATAGAGGAGAAAATGGCATCAAAGGGTATGACAAATTGATGAAATCATTATAATGATTCCACCATTATAATGAGTCGTTATTATTAGGAAAGGTATATGAGATCATCAATCAAAAGATGGGAAATAGAATAGATTGCGATAAGGAGGAATGGATTTTCAACGAAACAATAATCAAATTAAACACACACTAAGAATTAGGATTTCTGCATGTGCGTGCGTGTGTTTCTGATACACATGCGTGTATTCCCTACGTACGAAGTTTTGACCAACCGAAATAATATTTCGGTGATCCAATCTAAACCATAATAAATCTTCGACACAAGATCTTCTACCTGTTATGTGGCAGCAACTTCTTGCCAGGAAATATCATCGAGATCTCTCAACAAAAATTAATGAAATCTTATTAAACTTCTTCTACCCAGTACTATTGCCGGTAAATAATTTTCACTGACGCAATTCATTTCATAACAATTTATTAACATCAAACAAGTTCTATCAAAGTAAGTAAAAAAAAAATTCAGGGCATATCATTCAATGCTGTAAATTATTACAAAAATCAATGTATTATACAATTTGAGCTTAAGACGGCAATATATTATTTTTTTAAAATTTCAATTGAAAGAATTCGTCAATATCATCAATCATCTTTACGATCTATTCAGAAAATACAGTAATACAGCTCAGGAAATGCAAATCACAAATGTCACATAGTAACTTTACAATAAGGTACCGCACTCGGGAGGTCACATACATTCAGTAAGGGATTAAAAACAGTATGCTCTGGACAAAAAACTTTTCCAATTTGCCCCATACGCATCGATAAAACACCGAGCAATCTTTTTCGTCTGCAAGATGGTCACCATGGGATTTCCCCTCACAGTTTAAACCTGCTGATGACGAATTGTTACCTGTGAAAACATATTTCAGACAAATTCCTAAAATTTTTGAGAGAAAATATAAAAGAAATATACTAGTTAGGACATTACGAATACAAATTACCTTCAATGGATTTCTCAGAAGTACCAGCACACTCAGGCACGTTGCTTTTATAATCACAGCCACCGGATATTTCGTTGAAAACAAATCCATCATTGCATGGCAAATGCTCAAATATCTCCTCCCCAAAACACTAAAAAAGAATGATTCCGGTAATTTGTCTGTAGAGAACCGGCATCTTCGCACATGTTGTATTCACCACATGAAACAGTGGGAATTTTGCACAAGAATTTGAGTAACCTGTAAAATTCTTGCACAGTCTGTCGGATGCCGGTATAAGCCATCCAGTCGATGGATACAGAAATCGTCAGCATTATTGAGTTTTTTAATTCCATCGGTTGGTATAGTCGGGCTTTGTCGGCATTCAGGATTCAGTGACCGTACTACACATGCACCAGCGGTTGCAGAAAATGTTTCCAAATGTTTAAAGCAACGTCTACGAATCGGAACACCCTAAAAATACAAGAATCTTACTTGAAAATCGTCACTTCCTGAAAACTTATATGCTTTGGTCATTTCCTAAAGATTTCTGTGCTTTTATCAATTCCTGAAGAATATATGCTCACTACCAGCTTACCTTCTTGCACACGTAATATTCACTTAAACACGGTCCAATTCCCTTTGAAATATTATCTTCTACACCATCACACTTTTCCTTTGTTAATGATACTGATTCCGCAACAGCACCACCAATTATTCCGCAAACTTCAGCTGGAACACAACGTCCAACATCCTCATCAAACATGTAACCATTTATGCAGTACGACTGAAACATAACGGTACTTGATGGGTAAAGGAATAAGAAAAAAAGTACCAGTGGGTAAAAAGGCACGAAAAGAGAGATGCCAAAAGGCAGAAGGATGACAAACGTGCATAACAAAAAATTTGCACTAAATTATCGCTCGACTACACTTACCTTACGAAGAGTTCCATCGCGCAGACAGTAGATATATTCTCCTCGACAATGCCCGTATGCAGCAATTTGACCTCGTGACGCGTAACAACGTGCATGCATCGTTTGCTTTGAAGGTTCAGCTGCTCGCAAATCCGCAATACGAATGCTCGATGCTAAATGTTTTTTCAAATGAGATATTTCTGAAAGATCAGAAATCGCAAGGACAAGAAAGAAAAGAATTTCAAAAAAAGAAAAGGTCTTACCATGTGCTCTTTTTCTGAACGGAATTCCAGCTTTACTACCACAAGCAGCAACGTTCTGTGCATGATCACAACGACTGGTATCGATGTTATACACTAATCCTTCTTGACAAAAGAATAAATGATCGTCACCGTTGATACAGACGGTAAATTTCCTTGAACAACCTCTCGACATTATACCACTGAATCCTTTCTCACATTCCCATCGTTTCAGTGCTTAAAACATCCGGATTTAATCAATAACTGTATTATTCCATCTTATTCATATAGTAATCAGAAGATGAAAATAGACAATATGGATTGAACACACTTACGAGTTGAATGATGAGATGGTTGAGCGGTGATAAAACTTGGTTCCAGCGATAATTTTTCAGCGATAGAGGATGATGTAGTAGGAGAACTATTCACGAGATTAGTTTTTTCACAAGATGAAACATGTTCTTTTTGATCACAAAACCCAGTCTCAAGATTGAAAACTAATGCATCCTGGCATACGAATCCAGTTATGTGATCAACTGGAAAATTATGAAAATCGTAGAAATTACGGAAACATAAAATACTCAACTAAAACATAAAACACTCAGTTGTTCATTTATGACGAAAGACTAACCGGAACAAACGAAAAACAGTGGTGAGCAATGAGAAGCATACAATCCATCAGGAACACTCATACAATCAAAACTTGAAGCATCATATGAAACATTAGTCAAATTTACTGACGTATGAGGTAAATTATCTGAAACAAGCAAGATTTCATGACATACTGAAAAGGTCCAAACTAATTTTAGATATGATTAATTTTAGACATTATCCTTCGACATTTTATGGTGCCATTTTAAACCGTATTTTTCGAATATTTGAAACTGAAGGACTGATCAAATATGAAGTTAGGACGAAACAAACTTAAATCTTGGCCAATGACTTGATTTACTTTGTAGTTTGAAATTGACGATTTAAACAAAAAAGAAATTTTTACCAAATTCTGTCAGTGGCGAAGAGGAACTGAATCCTTTAGTAACTGAAAGCATTCTTCGTTTATTATCTTGTTCATCACATTCTGAAGTATCCTCTATTCTATTACATGAGCTCGTTGTCTGCAAGTTCATTTAATTTCTACTTCTTGTTTATCCAGATTTAAAACAAACAATTACAAAAATAATTCACCCTAGCAATATGCAGAAAGAAAAAATCAAAAATTTGATAATTAGGTTCTTTGCCTGGTCGAAAACGAGACCGCCACCACAATTGAATATGTATACAATACCGCCAGAACATATAACAAAAGTTGGTGAACAACCGAGAGATATGGTACTGTTTATGGAGCATGTAAAGTTTGGTAACATGGAGGGTACTTCATGGTCAGCATTTGCTACCTCCATTTTTATCTCGCCCATCACGTTTTCAAGATTCGAATGACCTGAAACAACATGAGATTAATGCCACACATTTTTGAATTTTATATTCATTCTGCTCGACTTTTTTTTTTAAACTTTGTTTCCGTTACGTTTTGCGGCCGCTGTTTCATAAAAGGTTTGTAGCACATGCGGAAGATATATGGATACACAGATAAGGAAATGCAAATTACAACCTGGAAGAGCATATGCATCGTTTGGCAATAAAGTTTCGTATTAAAAACAAAAGTTTCGTTTCCGCACCACTGCCATCCATAAAAGCGCTTAATTACTTCCCATTAAAGTATCATAATTTTTTAGATTTATAAATAACCTTTTGCACTAGGCAAAGACTGTTCATAAATTGTACTTTCACTATTACAAATAGCTACACGTTCTTTGTAGTCACATTGTTGTTTGCTTCCATCATAATATAGTCCATTTGCGCAATTTCTCAATACTGCTTTGTTGGATTACACAAGAAAGAAAATACCGGCTACAACCCGGAAGAGAATATGTACCGTCTGGCAATAAAGCGCACGGAGTTCCTGTAGTATAAAAAAAATATTTGGCAAAGAATGAACTTTGAATAACTTCTCACCTTTGCCTTTATGATGCGTATATGAGATTTATAAGTGTCGATCCAAACAGTCGAAAAAT